TATATATTGTATATTTAGCTGGGCTTCAAATCCAACTCAAACTAAAAGATTATTCAGTTCTACAACTATAAAATCAGGCATAAATATTTTGTATATTTTTATAATATTTTAAGATTCAGTAAGCATCTATATAAGTGGAGCTTACTGTCTAACTCAATATGCTTATGTGGATTTTGGGTTTCACAAAACCTTTTCTAGTATGAAGTCTCTCATATTAGATTTTGAGTTCTGTAAAAACTTTTCAAATCTAAAATCTGTCGTATTAGAATTTTAGTAAAAATCTAAATTTAGTGCCGATTCCTAGCTGAGCTAAATAAATAATTGACTACTAAGTGTTTATAGGATATCGTAAATAATGCAATTGCTGTCAATTTCTCGAGTAGTTGAGACCACTGTGCAAGCGCAGTCTTAAAGCCAAAGGAGCTCGTAAAAGTCCGTTAATTGGCATCAAATTTCGACAGCTGAACTGGGCGCAGTTGCTGTCTGCTAATGGCTGATTAGGTATGCATGCGACTGGGTTATGCACTCGAGCAGTCAAGCATTGCTCTTAAGATGCATGCACACACACACACACACACACACACATACATACTGGCACAGTGAATGACACCAATTATAGAGCCTACTTACTGTTAACTAGGTAATTGCCACAGATATATCAGTAAACACTAATACAAGCAACACAAGCAGCACATTAATGTACGATTTAGGACTGGGTCACACACACACACACACACACACACACAGGCATATTCACTCACACACACCCACATACATATAGCGCACACACTTGTAGGAAATGGATTCAATGTGATAGCTCGTGCCTATGCATGTCAGTCAATTAATGTAACATTCTGTTGACACATTCGCTTTGACAGGACATCGCTCTTCATTGTGACCAGCTTGGTGTATGCGATTCTCTTGATTGTCGTATGCATTGCGTATGTGATCAGCGATGTGACCACACACCGACTGCCGGTGCTCTACTACGAGACGTTCTTCACATACCTATACGGCACCAGCATACTCTTCCTGTTGTACGTCTTTTGTTTTTTGCTGCAGGGTAAGTTGTGTCCGCCTGCATGTCTGCAATGCAATATACATATATATTTCCGATGTGACATATCCTTGATGCCCTGATGTCCTTGCAGAAAGCTCTTGCTGTAATGGCGGCAACGGCGGCAGCAAACCGAAACCCCCAGCCAAGGAGAAGAAATCGAAGAAAACGAAGAATGCAGATCCGGCCGATTCGAAGGATGCGAAAGGCTCTAAGGACTCTGGAAAAGCTGGCAAAGGCGCCGCATATCAGGTGGGTGCACTTTAGACAATAAATGGTTTCATATAGAGTTTAATCAGAGAGTCAAGCTCGAGTCTCAATTGCATTCCTTATTTTTATATTTATGCTCCTCTCTCTGCAGTTTGCTAATCTGAGGCACGAAAGTGTTGTAAGGTCAGCGAACTCGAGTCTTATGTCTACATATATCATATTATAAATGCCTCTCTCTGCAGTTCTCATAGTTTTTGGCTTATCTGCAGACAGAGAGTGCTGGAAAGAGAGCGAGCTCGAATCTCAATGGCTTCTTTTAAATATATTTATATTTTTGATAGTTTTTACTCTTATTAACTTTCATGAGCCTCTCTCTGTAGTTCTCATAAAATTTGATTTACCTGAACAAGAAATAGAAGCCATTGAAAAGCGAGCAAGTTCGAGTCTCAAGTGCCTTTATTATATATATATTTACATTAAGTGTCAATCGCCTCTCTCGGCGGTTCTCATAGTTTTTGGTTTATCTCCACATAAAGCACAAATTGAGTTACTGCATCAAGGCAAATTCAGTTATGCTTTATATCCGAGCGCTGATTCATGCCAGGGCTAATGAGCCGCCAAGCCCATTGTGCTGTGTGGAATATGCCACATAACGACAGTGTGTGCCACCTCTCAATGGGGCACATTAACGGCTCGTCGTTAATTATGTGACGACGCTTGCCAAGTGATAAGGCCACATCAATTAAGCCGAGCATGCGAACTTGTACACATCATTATCATCTCCCTATATAGACATACATACATACATACACACATATACACACATGCATACATTTACACGTATTTGCGACCCCAAATGTGCAATAACTGTTTGTTGTTGTTTCGCACGCACAGGAAGCACCCGTGGATGCCGAGGTGGCCGTCACCCCGAAGAACGTACGCAAGCGAAAGACCACGCACAGCGATCTCACGCACGGAAGTTTCTTTCTGCGCGTTGGTGCCATCGGTAAAGCCCCATTCCTGTCTTGTACCCATATATAACTAGATATATACATGCATATTTGTATATTTATATACAAGTACTCTAAACTATATATTGCTGTTCCATTTTGATTTCGGCTTACTATTGATTTGCCTTAGCTTTTGGACTGGGCGCTATGATTTATATTGGCTTGGAATTCGGCTCGTTCTTTGAGATACCATTCGACTCGCCGTGCCATCACATCTTGATCGGCGTTAATCCGTTGCTGCAGATGATTTTCACCTTCATGCAGATGTACTTTATATTCATGAATGCCCGGGTAAGTCAATACAGTCCCCACTACTCGAGCGGAATCGAGCTGCCCTAACCCAGAACTTACTGTCTAAATAAATGAGAAAACACTGTATACCTGTATAGCTACTTACCCATCTACCTATGTACCTGCCTCACTACCTATCTGCCTTATACGAAATACAATATATACTCTACCTACTACTATCTAATAATACTACTACTCTCGACAAACACGAGTACACACAGAACTATATATATATCTATATATGTGAAAAGTCCCAGTCCATCAACAGTCCAATTGAGGTTAGTTTTAAGTTTAAGCTTACGATATACTCGCTGGCCATGGAATGGAGAAGGCCAACGATAGTTCGAGCTGGAAATCGAAGGAGGACTCTGACGATTTTCCAGCGGATAATCTTTGGCCCTATCCATGCTGTGAGCACGATCACAACCAAAATCGAGGCTCGGTTCGGTCATTCTTTCCCTCTCCCCTCTATCTATCTCTCTTTTCCACTGTCACTCTCTCTATCTCCCCCTCTGTCTCTGTCTAACTCTATCTCTATCACTTATTTCACTATATTTTTCGTCTGTGACGCTCGTTTGAATTGGCGTAACAATTGGCAGTTAGTTGAGTTGAATTCAGTTAATTATATATTTGATTCGTGCATTCATTCGCATTCGCATTCGCATTCGCAATCATTCATCTGTCACTTTTCCTTTATTTGTTTTCGCTTTGCTTCATCCAACAATGCAACAATGCAACTGCAGAACACATTCGGCCCATCGTCGAATCGCTCATTTAGATCAAAGCCATATTCAGTGTTTTAGCCAGATAAGTTAAGAGTTTAGAAGCGCCGATTCACAGCTATATTCAATCACATTCACCACGAATACACGTACACGCATTCATTATGCTCACTCCTAACTCACGCCATATCATCATCAATATCAATATCAATATCAATACCAATATCAATTACATTATCATTACCATCATCACTATCATCATTATATTTTTATAAACAAATTTCGAAATTGTGCAAAGTACTTAGTTTTTTAATGAACCATTTTTGTGTACATAATCCCCACAACTCTGCCCCATTCGCGATCGCAGACTAGGCCACCATTTCAGGTACGATATACAACTCATTTTCTAACTCTACTCTACTACTACTACTACCACTACTCTACTCTCTACTCTCTCTCTCTCTCTCTCTCTCTCTGTCTGTCTCTCTCTATACCCTACGCTCATATCTCTTACACGTTTCAAATATATTTATATGTATATATATGTGCGTGCGTGTGTGTGTGTGAGTGCGTGAGTGTGTGTCTGTGTGCTGCATTCATAAATATATAATTAACTTAAGCTATATATAAATTATTATATTACAAATATAAATACATAGACATACATATATATTTATATTTATATTGAGAGGTTATCTTAGCAAATCATATATCTTAAACAATTATTAATAAAATACTTTTGCATATTTATTCATCGATAAATATCGATTTGTCATACATGCAAGAGTATTGAAACTTCGTCAAGGCAGCGAAGTTAGTTTTTCTTTTACTTTTCTAGCACCCGATTCTTAAGTTTTTGTATATATATAAATACACATACATATATGTATCTTTTAAAATATATACAACTTTTCGCCCCAATTGACTGACATACACATTCCCTGACTGACTGATTAATGAGCGGAATAAAATTGTGAAAAATATATGAAACCTTTTCACTTTCACTTCAACCTTTGATCACCCATATCCTGATAATCTATATATGTATATGCACTATAAGCTAATAAGCGAACCTTCCTTATTATAAAAATTACTTAGGAAAGTATGTTGAAATTGGCTCTAATACCTTAATATATGTATACATATATACTTATATAAATATAGAATTTTCTGTTCGCCTAGAAGACTATAGCACATACAGTTTTATCCGATTTGCCAGGATCCCAATCGGCGTGAATATGTCCGCTATATCTTGGTGATTTTGGCTTGTCAAAGCTTGTATACATTCCAAATTATAATTTCCGATTTGTCAAGGCGCCGGAATAGCTTACCTTCATATGGAGAGGGATGGACAGCTAGGCGGACCTGATGTAAAACCGATATACTCGTATAGCTTTCATCAATGAGCGTTATAAACAGACTGACAATGCCGGCTAGCACCGGCTCGCAACCGATTAGCGGTAAACGCGTTTCCTTTCCGTACTCAAGTTTGCGCCAGCGCATTACTCTCTCTCTCTCTCTCTCTTTCTCTGCCTTTCTCTCTCTCTCTCTCTATCTATCTTACTGTCTCTCTCTCTCCCTGGTCCCGAACGCGCTTTGCTTAACACTTGCCTGATCGTTGTCTCAATCTCAATGCGCATCGCTTGCAGCTCAACATCCACCGGTTCAAGGTGATCGCCCGCTTCGGCCTGATGCACGTGGTGGCCACCAACATCTGTGTGTGGATACGCACCCTGGTGAAGGAGTCGCTGCTGGAGATCACCATCTATCATCAGAAGCGCGAGGCCGATCCGGATGCCTCGTCCATTGCCCACTCGATCCGGCAGCATGCGCTGCGTCATGCCGGCACCGTTCTGCGCACCCACTCGGGCCCCAACACCGAGTTCGAGGTGCTGGACGGTGAGGATGTGCTGCCCAAGAACGTGTACAAGAGCGACAATGTGCTCTCGAAGCTCGTGCGCAACACGGTCGACGGCATTTCGAAGAGTCTGGGCATGGGCGGCGACATTACTAGCACCAGCACTACCAGCACCACAACGACAACCACACGAGCGCCATACACCACGCCCGGCTATCAATGGCACAGCACTACTATGGCCCGCAAGCTGAAGAAGTTTATCACTAGCACCACAGCTGCCACCAGCACCATCGGCAGCAGCAGCAGCAGCACCAGCACCGCCAGTAGCACCACCACATCAACCATCACATCCACCACCGGCCTGCCATTTGGCAGCGCTGCCACCGCCGCCGACGCCGCTAGCACGACCAGTGAAACGCCCTTCAACAGCCTGGAGCGCATCCTCTCCAGCGTCGCACCCTCTAGCCAATCGCCTGTCGATGTGTCCGCGTCAACGCTGCCCGCTGCCACATCTGGCGTCTCCTCGTTCATCGACAATCTGGTCAGCAGCAGCACCGCGCCCAGCCCAACCTTGGGCGCCAGCACTACCGAGAGCGCCGTCAATATTATGAACAATCTGTTTGGCCCCGGCATGGAGAACAGCTTCCAGACGTACTCGGATCTATCGCATGAGGAGTCCAATGGCCTGATCGCCTTTGAGAATCTGGAGAGCTTGGACAATATCTATCCGGCTGCGCTGTCTTCCAACATTGGCACACTCAACTCCACCGCCTGTGGACGCATTGACATTATGGGTACCATCGTCTATGATTCGGCGCCCTATCTGTATCCGTTTATCATTGAGTACTCGCTGATCGGCGCTGTCGTTTTGTATGTCATGTGGAAGCACATCGGTCGCTATCCGGGCCGGCTGAATGACGAGGATCTCGAGCACCGGCTCGAGGTGATGCTATCCCGTCGGGCCGTTGCCATGGCGCAGCAGGCACGTTCCGGACGCGTCGACTGTGTTGGCTCGTCGAAGGGTTTGTTCTTTGGTCTGTTGCTGTTGGTTGGCGCGCTGATCTGCTTGATACTCTTCTTCGTCTTGGTGCGTCATCAGCAGTTCTCGCTGTTGGCCATTTACCTGGCCGATGCCAGTCACTGCATTCTCATGGCCTTTGCCATACTGGCCATCATAGTGGGCTTCATAAGGTGCGTAACAGAAGGCGAGCCTCAAATATAATTGGAATTACACACACACACACACACTCTCTCTCTCCCTTTCTATCTGTATCTTTGCCTCTCTCTTTCTTTGGCTCACTTAGGGTGAAGAACTTGAAATTCCGCTGCGAGGAACAATCGAATCTAAATGACATTTTGCTGCGCATCTCAGCCTTCGGCCTGTTCACCTATTCCGTGTTCAGCATCATCGCCGGCAGCCTGAAGGTGCTGGAGAGCGAGCCCAGCCTGTTGGTGACGACCACGGGCGGCGTCGCCGTCTTCCAGGTCATCTTGCAGCTGCTCTTCATAGCCGATGTATCGCGCCGTCGCGTCCATTTGCCAGAACATGATCGCAGCAAGCCCGGACGCCAGATCGTCACCTTCTTGCTCATCTGCAACGTGGCCATGTTTGCCATCTACACATTCGAAGCTCAAAAAGTATTCGCCAATCCTGTAAGTAGATATGTACGTAAGCGAGACTGAGTTAAGTAAGACGATTAACGCTCTCGTTCGTTCTACTCGTTCTATTTGTTACATGTTATTCGATTCTAGAAATATTGTAGAGCACGTTGTCTTTATATGTTTCTGTTCCCCAATTGGTTATCGATGAGCTGTGCAAGCTTATCGATAACAAAATATCAGTTTTAGCTGCCAGTTAACTCGACTAAGGCTAATTGATTTATGAGAATATCTATTTTAAATCTTGTTCCCCTCAACAGAAACATAGAAAGCGCGATTTATTGAGAAACAGAGCTGTTCCAATTATTTTTTATTATTCAATATATTTTCTATATGTATTTAGTTATGCTGTAAAGTTTACCTATTAACAGCTCTGATTATAATGCATGCTAAAACATCTTTTGTAACATCTTGAATATATGTACTTCCATTCAGAAAATATTCGCACTTAAAATAACGTTGCCAGTTAACATAGATGCAAAGCTATCTTCCAAAAATCCATATCTGAATTGCATATCAATTTTCCATTGTCTTCTACATATCCATGCTTAAATTCCATTTACTTATGGATCTTTAGATGAAAAATAATGATCGAAATATTTAATCATATATCACATTCCAGATAATGCTTTAAAAATGCTTACTTGAATTATTTTAATCTTTGATCTCGGATCTCTAGCCAAAATGTCTCACAAATACGTTTAAATATCCAATTGGAGGGCCACATGTGCAAGACAAGTGTCACGAATGCCCTCCAATTGGAGTCAAGAACCAAAATAAATGCCATGACTGACTTCCAATTGGACGCAAGTACATACATAGATATGTATGATTATGGCTGCATTTGACTGCTTGGCTTCGAACTGTAATTTAATACATACAGGAATATATACATAGATATGTATATGCCATGCAAATAACGGCTAACCGAACGAAATCCTGCTCACTCGCTCTCGCTCTTGCTCTGACCAAAAGACTTCGGTTCTTTTCGTTTTTCTTTTTCGTTGAGCGCCTTAAGCTATGCTCTTCTGACGAACGTCGTGTAGAGAGTGAGAGACACGATTGACGTTCGCAGAGTGAGACTCAGTAATGCACTCAATGCAAACGCTCAACAGTTATTTGTGGGCTATGTATGTATGTGTGTCTTTGCTACAAAAGAATGTAATGTTTTACATAATATTGTTGTCTGTCTATGATCTTTGATTTGTAATTGCTTGCCTGTTGTTATTGTGAATGTACTTATTTAAATGTCTACACATGCATAAATGCCAACTAATTAAACTTTGCTCTCCCAATACACAGGTGCAATTGGATTTCTATGGCTTTGTGCCCTGGTCGATCATTCAGCGCATCACACTGCCCCTCTGCATTTTCCATCGGTTCCACAGTGCCGTGACACTTGCCGAGATCTGGAAGACCACCTACAAGGCGCGTTTGGAGTAAGCTGCTACCAGCTGTTGGAGGGCTGTAGGCAAACCCACAAATGAGAGGTTATTAAATGCACCAAAAACATAAAAACAACAACAATATGAATATGAAAATGAAAGTAAGAGGACAAAATATTAAAAACAAAACAAAAGGAAAGAAAACCAACAAATTATAGCGAACCGAATACTGCGAACAAAAACATTTAAAGTTAGTTTCTTAATGCATATTATATATTTAAAAACAAAAAACATATTTATATATACATATGTATGTATGTTTTAGTAGATATACATATACATACATGTTAATGCATATACATATTTATGTATATATTACGCACGATCTTTGCTTCTTGAAAATTTGATTCACAAATTGATTCGCTCAATTGATTTTAATTAATGTTAATTTGAGGCCCGATGCTTCATGTTTGCTCTCCAGTAAACTTATAAGATATATACTTTGCTGTAGATATGTAATTCCTTTGGAGCATTTAAACGCTTAAGTTTATGATTCCGATGAAAGGTTTAATGCATATTAGATATGCAGTAATAATGCGTAAATTGAGGTGTTTAATTAATTGATGTATTTTTAATGTCTAATGGACTCTTATGCCGTTAATTGTTGTGGCGCTAAGACCACNGTATGTTTTAGTACGCGTAAAGGTTAACTAAGTTCAAAGGTAACCAAAAAAAAAACAAAACAAAATAACAAAAAACAGCAACAAATTTACGAGTTGTATCAAAAAAGTGAGCTAAATCCCAAAGGAAGAGATTGGACCATTGTGCGTGGTATACAAAAATAAAAAAATATATAAAAAAAATTAAACCTTAAAACGTACATTGAAATGTTTAAACCTTTATTAATGCTAAATACCAAATGGATTAACAACTAGCAACTATCACATAAAAAACCAAAAATGAAAATGAAAAAAAAAAAAACAAAAACAAAACGAACAAGTATTCTTTGAATGAAATTGAACAAAATTGTTGAAAATTTATTTAGGCATAAAGGGAAAAACATGCTTTGCGAATCGCTTGTTGTTTTATAATTTAACGTATACATACATACATACATAACGTATACATACATACATATAGATATGTGTATTAGACGGGGGCAGAAATATATTTGTGACACTGTTGAAGGAAAGACTCAACAACTCGCACTCAATTGCGGTTCGAGTGAATAATGCTCAAAGTACGTTGAGTGATGCTGAAGCGAAGCCGAACAACTTTTGAGTGAAAGCGAGAGTTCGGGTGTAGATGTGTTAAATGCATCATTTCTCACACGTACACATACACGCGCATACATGCAGCTTCGTCTAGCGAAGTGCGAAGCTTATGCATGCAAAAATTTGAGTGACTGAACGCCTTCAGGATTTGCTTGATTCATTCTCACTCATTTAACTGAAGGCCGTAGAGTGTGAGCGAGAGCGCGTCTGTATGTATGCTGTGAGTGAAGCCAGGCAGCCCTCTATACATACATATGTGTATATGTACGTATGCTTGTATGTATATTATTTTTCCATATCTATTATTATACATACATATATTTGTGACATGTCAGCTGCATGGAAAACTTAAGAACTAAGTCATAGCGTTTACATTTCAAATGCATTTCTGCAAGCAAACCAGATGCAACAATTTTTTTTCTTTTGTCCTTAGTTTAGTGTGAAGCAAATTATAATAATTATATTTATAAAATGTCAGCACATAGTATGTTAATTATTAATTTATGTACATCTATATACATATACATATATGCATATTATTATCTCTCTGTCTTTCTGTTACTCTGCATATTATTTATAATTTACTATTATGTTTAACTGTGTTTGTAATTGATTTATTTTCTCTTGTTTATGGTTTGTTATTTAAGTTTTGCTGCAATTCAATTAAAAATCATGTAAAAATAATGCAAACAAAATTATATATACATATACATATATACATATACATATATAGACATATATGTACAAAAAGGTTGTTTACTTTTCGCGTTGCAATTAACTGAGGTACAGTTGCTTCAAAACATGGTATGTCCTGTAAAATGTGTTTTGGTTGAGCATTTTTGAAATTCATTAAACACTTTTTGTGCTCGGCTCGGCAAAGACAACTAAACAACAGCAACAACAACAACAAAAGCCGACGACAGAACAGCAACAACAACAACAAACTGTGATGAATCATATTGTTTATTGACTTTGAATGCAATTTTTTTATGATTTGCATGGCATCGATTTCTTTTCTGATTCTATTTTAGTTTTTGGGAAACACAAATTTGGAGAAAAAAGAAAAAAAAAACGGAAATTAAATAATAACAAAGAATCAACAAATTACTGCGAAACAT